TGACTGAGTGAGTGACTGAGTGGGGAGATGATGGACCCTCGCATGGAGGCACTCCTCAGCTGGGTGAGTGGGTGAGTGGGTGAGTGAGTGGGTGGGTGGGTGAGTGAGTGGGTGGGTGGGTGAGTGAGTGGGTGAGTGGGTGAGTGAGTGGGTGAGTGGGTGAGTGAGTGAGTGGGTGAGTGAGTGGGTGGGTGAGTGAGTGAGTGAGTGGGTGAGTGGGTGAGTGGGTGAGTGAGTGAGTGGGTGAGTGGGTGAGTGAGTGGGTGAGTGGGTGAGTGAGTGAGTGGGTGAGTGAGTGGGTGGGTGAGTGAGTGGGTGAGTTGGTGAGTGAGGAGATGATGGACCCTCGCATGGAGGGACTCCTCAGCTGGGTGAGTGGGTGAGTGAGTGAGTGGGTGAGTGGCTGGGTGAGTGAGTTAGTGGGTGGGTGGGTGAGTGGCTGGGTGAGTGAGTGGGTGGGTGGCTGGGTGAGTGAGTGGGTGACTGGGTGAGTGGGTGAGTGAGTGGGTGGGTGAGTGGGTGAGTTGGTGGGGGGGGGGGGAGATGATGGACCCTCGCATGGAGGCACTCCTCAGCTGGGTGAGTGAGTGGGTGGGTGAGTGGGTGAGTGGGTGGGTGGGTGGGTGAGTGAGTGGGTGAGTGACTGATTGACTGAATGACTGACTGAGTGAGTGAGTGACTGACTGACTGAGTGGGGAGATGATGGACCCTCGCATGGAGGCACTTCTCAGCTGGGTGAGTGGGTGGGTGAGTGAGTGAGTGAGTGGGTGGGTGAGTGAGTGGGTGAGTGGGTGAGTGAGTGGGTGAGTGGGTGGGTGAGTGAGTGGGTGAGTGAGTGGGTGAGTGAGTGGGTGAGTGGGTGGGTAGGGAGATGATGGACCCTCGCATGGAGGAACTCCTCAGCTGGGTGAGTGGGTGGGTGAGTGAGTGGATGAGTGGGTGAGTGAGTGGGTGAGTGGGTGAGTGGGTGAGTGAGTGGGTGATTGGGTGAGTGAGTGGGTGGGTGGGTGAGTGAGTGAGTGGGTGGGTGAGTGGGTGAGTGAGTGGGTGAGTGAGTGGGTGAGTGAGTGGGTGGGTGGGTGGGTGAGTGAGTGGGTGGGTGAGTGAGTGAGTGACTGACTGAGTGGGGAGATGATGGACCCTCGCATGGAGGCACTCCTAAGCTGGGTGAGTGGGTGAGTGGGTGAATGGTTGAGTGAGTGGGTGAGTGGGTGAGTGAGTGGGTGAGTGGGGGGGTGGGGGGGTGAGTGAGTGGGTGAGTGGGTGAGTGGGTGGGTGGGGAGATGATGGACCCACGCGTGGAGGCACTCCTCAGCTGGGTGAGTGGGGGGTGAGTGGGTGGGTGACTGAGTGAGTTGGTGAGTGGGTGAGTGAGTGAGTGGGTGAGTGGGTGAGTGGGTGAGTGAGTGAGTGAGTGGGTGGGTGGGTGAGTGGGTCAGTGGGTGAGTGGGTGAGTGAGTGAGTGAGTGGGTGGGTGGGTGGGTGAGTGAGTGAGTGAGTGAGTGGGTGGGTGGGTGGGTGAGTGAGTGGGTGGGTGGGTGAGTGGGGGGTGAGAGAGTGAGTGAGTGGGTGGGTGAGTGGGTGAGTGAGTGAGTGGGTGGGTGGGTGGGTGAGTGAGTGAGTGGGTGAGTGACTGAGTGAGTGAGTGAGTGACTGAGTGACTGAGTGAGTGATTGACTGAGTGAGTGAGTGAGTGACTGAGTGAGTGAGTGACTGAGTGATTGACTGAGTGATTGAGTGAGTGAGTGACTGAGTGAGTGACTGAGTGAGGAGATGATGGACCCTCGCATGGAGGCACTCCTCAGCTGGGTGAGTGGGTGGGTGGGTGAGTGGGTGAGTGAGTGGGTGGGTGGGTTGGTGGGTGAGTGAGTGAGTGGATGGGTGAGTGGGTGAGTGGGTGGGTGGGTGAGTGAGTGGGTGAGTGGGTGAGTGAGTGGGTGAGTGGGTGAGTGAGTGAGTGGGTGAGTGAGTGAGTGGGTGTGTGAGTGAGTGAGTGAGTGGGTGAGTGAGTGGGTGAGTGAGTGAGTGAGTGGGTGAGTGAGGAGATGATGGACCCTCGCATGGAGGGACTCCTCAGCTGGGTGAGTGAGTGAGTGGGTGAGTGGCTGGGTGAGTGAGTTAGTGGGTGGGTGGGTGAGTGGCTGGGTGAGTGAGTGGGTGGGTGGCTGGGTGAGTGAGTGGGTGAGTGGGTGAGTGGGTGAGTGAGTGGGTGGGTGAGTGGGTGAGTTGGTGGGTGGGTGGGGAGATGATGGACCCTCGCATGGAGGCACTCCTCAGCTGGGTGAGTGAGTGGGTGGGTGAGTGGTGAGTGGGTGTGTGGGTGGGTGAGTGAGTGGGTGAGTGAGTGGGTGGGTGGGTGAGTGAGTGGGTGAGTGAGTGGGTGAATGACTGATTGACTGAATGACTGACTGAGTGAGTGAGTGACTGACTGACTGAGTGGGGAGATGATGGACCCTCGCATGGAGGTACTTCTAAGCTGGGTGAGTGGGTGAGTGAGTGGGTGAGTGAGTTGGTGAGTGGGTAAATGAGTGGGTGAGTGGGTGGGTGAGTGAGTGGGTGAGTGAGTGGGTGAGTGAGTGGGTGAGTGGGTGGGTAGGGAGATGATGGACCCTCGCATGGAGGCACTCCTCAGCTGGGTGAGTGGGTGGGTGAGTGAGTGGGTGAGTGGGTGAGTGGGTGAGTGAGTGGGTGAGTGGGTGAGTGAGTGGGTGGGTGGGTGAGTGAGTGAGTGGGTGGGTGAGTGGGTGAGTGAGTGGGTGAGTGAGTGGGTGGGTGGGTGGGTGAGTGAGTGGGTGAGTGAGTGGGTGAGTGAGTGAGTGAGTGGGTGGGTGGGTGAGTGGGTCAGTGGGTGAGTGGGTGAGTGAGTGAGTGAGTGGGTGGGTGGGTGAGTGAGTGAGTGAGTGGGTGGGTGGGTGGGTGAGTGAGTGGGTGGGTGGGTGAGTGGGGGGTGAGAGAGTGAGTGAGTGGGTGGGTGAGTGGGTGAGTGAGTGAGTGGGTGGGTGAGTGGGTGAGTGAGTGAGTGGGTGAGTGACTGAGTGAGTGAGTGAGTGACTGAGTGACTGAGTGAGTGATTGACTGAGTGAGTGAGTGAGTGACTGAGTGAGTGAGTGACTGAGTGAGTGACTGAGTGATTGAGTGAGTGAGTGACTGAGTGAGTGACTGAGTGAGGAGATGATGGACCCTCGCATGGAGGCACTCCTCAGCTGGGTGAGTGGGTGGGTGGGTGAGTGGGTGAGTGAGTGGGTGGGTGGGTTGGTGGGTGAGTGAGTGAGTGGATGGGTGAGTGGGTGAGTGGGTGGGTGGGTGAGTGAGTGGGTGAGTGGGTGAGTGAGTGGGTGAGTGGGTGAGTGAGTGAGTGGGTGAGTGAGTGGGTGTGTGAGTGAGTGAGTGAGTGGGTGAGTGAGTGGGTGAGTGAGTGAGTGAGTGGGTGAGTGAGGAGATGATGGACCCTCGCATGGAGGGACTCCTCAGCTGGGTGAGTGAGTGAGTGGGTGTGTGGCTGGGTGAGTGAGTTAGTGGGTGGGTGGGTGAGTGGCTGGGTGAGTGAGTGGGTGGGTGGCTGGGTGAGTGAGTGGGTGAGTGGGTGAGTGGGTGAGTGAGTGGGTGGGTGAGTGGGTGAGTTGGTGGGTGGGTGGGGAGATGATGGACCCTCGAATGGAGGCACTCCTCAGCTGGGTGAGTGAGTGGGTGGGTGAGTGGGTGAGTGGGTGGGTGGGTGGGTGAGTGAGTGGATGAGTGAGTGGGTGGGTGGGTGAGTGAGTGGGTGAGTGAGTGGGTGAATGACTGATTGACTGAATGACTGACTGAGTGAGTGAGTGACTGACTGACTGAGTGGGGAGATGATGGACCCTCGCATGGAGGTACTTCTAAGCTGGGTGAGTGGGTGAGTGAGTGGGTGAGTGAGTTGGTGAGTGGGTAAATGAGTGGGTGAGTGGGTGGGTGAGTGAGTGGGTGAGTGAGTGGGTGAGTGAGTGGGTGAGTGGGTGGGTAGGGAGATGATGGACCCTCGCATGGAGGCACTCCTCAGCTGGGTGAGTGGGTGGGTGAGTGAGTGGGTGAGTGAGTGAGTGGGTGAGTGAGTGGGTGAGTGGGTGAGTGAGTGGGTGGGTGGGTGAGTGAGTGAGTGGGTGGGTGAGTGGGTGAGTGAGTGGGTGAGTGAGTGGGTGGGTGGGTGGGTGAGTGAGTGGGTGAGTGGGGGGGTGGGTGAGTGGCTGAGTGAGTGGGTGAATGACTGATTGACTGAGTGACTGACTGACTGAGTGGGGAGATGATGGACCCTCGCATGGAGGCACTCCTAAGCTGGGTGAGTGGGGGGTGAGTGGGTGGGTGACTGAGTGAGTGGGTGAGTGGGTGAGTGAGTGAGTGGGTGAGTGGGTGAGTGGGTGAGTGGGTGAGTGGGTGAGTGAGTGAGTGAGTGGGTGGGTGGGTGAGTGGGTCAGTGGGTGAGTGGGTGAGTGAGTGAGTGGGTGGGTGGGTGGGTGAGTGAGTGAGTGAGTGGGTGGGTGGGTGGGTGAGTGAGTGGGTGGGTGGGTGAGTGGGGGGTGAGTGGGTGAGTGAGTGAGTGGGTGGGTGGGTGGGTGAGTGAGTGAGTGAGTGGGTGAGTGACTGAGTGAGTGAGTGAGTGACTGAGTGAGTGATTGACTGAGTGAGTGAGTGAGTGACTGAGTGAGTGAGTGACTGAGTGATTGACTGAGTGACTGAGTGAGTGAGTGACTGAGTGAGTGACTGAGTGACTGAGTGAGGGACTAACTGAGTGACTGTGTGACTGAGTGAGTGAGTGACTGAGTGAGTGACTGAGTGAGTGAGTGAGTGACTGAGTGATTGACTGAGTGATTGACTGAGTGAGTGAGTGACTGAGTGACTGAGTGAGTGAGTGACTGAGTGAGTGACTGAGGGACTAACTGAGTGAGGGACTAACTGAGTGACTGTGTGACTGAGTGAGTGACTGAGTGAGTGACTGACTGAGTGAGTGACTGAGTGAGTGACTGAGTGGGTTACAGGTCGGCTCTCTGGAGCAAGCTATGCTGGATGCGCTGGTGATGGATCGTGTGGACTTTGTCAAGCTGCTGATAGAGAATGGAGTGAGCATGCATCGCTTCCTTACTCTGTCTCGTCTAGAGGAGCTCTACAACACGGTGAGCACTCACCACCTACTCACCACCTACTCACCACCACCACCAACTCACCACCTACTCACCACCTACTCACCACCTACTCACCACCTACTCACCACCACCACCAACTCACCACCTTGTCACCACCACCTACTCACCACCTACTCACCACCTACTCACCACCACCACCAACTCACCACCTCGTCACCACCACCACCACCTACTCACCACCTACTCACCACCACCTACTCACCACCTACTCACCACCACCTACTCACCACCTACTCACCACCACCTACTCACCACCTACTCACCACCTACTCACCACCACCTACTCACCACCTACTCACCACCTACTCACCACCACCACCAACTCACCACCTTGTCACCACCACCTACTCACCACCTACTCACCACCTACTCACCACCACCACCAACTCACCACCTCGTCACCACCACCACCACCTACTCACCACCTACTCACCACCACCTACTCACCACCTACTCACCACCACCTACTCACCACCTACTCACCACCACCTACTCACCACCTACTCACCACCTACTCACCACCACCTACTCACCACCTACTCACCACCTACTCACCACCACCACCAACTCACCACCTTGTCACCACCACCTACTCACCACCTACTCACCACCTACTCACCACCACCACCAACTCACCACCTCGTCACCACCACCACCACCTACTCACCACCTACTCACCACCACCTACTCACCACCTACTCTCCACCTACTCACCACCACCTACTCACCACCTACTCACCACCTACTCACCACCACCTACTCACCACCACCACCTACTCAACACCTACTCACCACCTACTCACCACCTACTCACCACCAACTCACCACCTCGTCACCACCACCACCACCTAGTCACCACCTAGTCACCACCTACTCACCACCTACTCACCACCTACTCACCACCACCACCTACTCACCACCTACTCACCACCACCACCTACCCACCACCTACTCACCACCTACTCACCACCTACTCACCACCTCGTCACCACCACCTACTCACCACCTCCTACTCACCACCTACTCACCACCACCTACTCACCACCTACTCACCACCACCTACTCACCACCTACTCACCACCACCTACTCACCACCTACTCACCACCACCTACTCACCACCTACTCACCACCTACTCACCACCACCTACTCACTACCTACTCACCACCTACTCAACACCACCTACTCACCACCACCACCTACTCAACACCTACTCACCACCTACTCACCACCTACTCACCACCAACTCACCACCTCGTCACCACCACCACCACCTAGTCACCACCTAGTCACCACCTACTCACCACCTACTCACCACCTACTCACCACCACCACCTACTCACCACCTACTCACCACCACCACCTACCCACCACCTACTCACCACCTACTCACCACCTACTCACCACCACCTACTCACCACCACTTACTCACCACCTACTCACCACCTACTCACCACCACCTACTCACCACCACCTACCCACCACCTACTCACCACCTACTCACCAACACCACCTACTCACCACCACCTACTCACCACCTACTCACCACCTACTCACCACCATCACCTACTCACCACCTACTCACCACCACCACCTACCCACCACCTACTCACCACCTACTCACCACCTACTCACCACCACCACCTACTCACCACCACCACCACCTACTCACCACCACCTACTCACCACCTACTCACCACCACCTACTCACCACCACCTACTCACCACCACCTACTCACCACCACCTACTCACCACCACCACCAACTCATTACCACCACCACCACCACCTACTCACCACCTACTCACCACCACCTACTCACCACCACCACCTACTCACCACCTACTCACCACCACCTACTCACCACCACCACCTACTCACCACCAACATCACCACCTACTCACCCCCGCCACCAACTCACCACCACCACCACCTCCACCACCACCACCACCTACTCACCACCACCTACTCACCACCTACTCACCACCACCACCTAATCACCACCTACTCACCACAACCAACACCACCTACTCACCACCACCTACTCACCACCAACACCACCACCTACTCACCACCAACACCACCACCTACTCACCACCACCACCTACTCACCACCACCACCACCTACTCACCACTAACACCACCACCACCACCTACTCACCACCACCACCTCCACCACCACCACCTAGTCACCACCACCACCTAGTCACCACCACCAAAACCACCACAACCTACTCACCACCTACTCACCACCTACTCACCACCACCACCTACTCACCACCACCACCTACTCACCACCACCACCTCCACCACCACCTCCACCATCTACTCACCACCAACTAGTTACCACCACCACCAACTAGTCACCACCACCTACACCTCACCACCACCACCACCTACTCACCACCACCACCTACTCACCACCACCAACTCACCACCACCACCTACTCAACACCACCACCACCTACTCAACACCACCACCACCCACTCACCACCACCACCTACTCACCACCACCACCACCTACTCACCACCACCACCACCTACTCACCACCACCACCTCCACGACCACCTACTCACCAACACCACCACCACCTACTCACCACCTACTCACCACCACCACCTACTCACCACCACCTACTCACCACCACGTCCACCGCCACCTCCACCACCTAGTCACCACCACCACATACTCACCACTACCACCACCTACTCACCACCACCACCACCTACTCACCACCACCACCTACTCACCACCACCACCTACTCACCACCACCACCTCCACCACCACCTACTCACCACCACCTCCACCACCTACTCACCACCAACTAGTCACCACCACGACCTACTCACCACCACCACCTACTCACCACCACCACCTACTCACCACCACCAACTCACCACCACCACCTACTCACCACCAACACCTCACCACCTAGTCACCACCACCACCTACTCACCACCACCACCTACTCACCACCACCACCACCTACTCACCACCACGACCACCTACTCAGCACCACCACCTACTCACCACCACCTAGTCACCTACTCACCACCACCACCATCACCTACTCACCACCACCACCAACACCACCACAACCACCTACTCACCACCACCACCTAGTCACCACCACCACCACCTACTCACCACCACCTCCACCACCAGCTCCACCACCACCACATACTCACCACCACCTCCACCAACTAGTCACCACCACCACCACCTACTCGCCACCACCACCTACTCACCACCACCACCTACTCACCACCACCATCACCTACTCACCACCAACACCACCTCCACCACCACCTACTCACCACCACCTCCACCACCACCACCACATTCTCACCACCACCACCAACTAGTCACCACCACCACCTACTCACCACCACCACCACCACCTACTCACCACCACCACCACCACCAACTCACCACCACCACCTACTCACGACCATCACCACCTAGTCACCACCACCACCAACTCACTACCACCACCTACTCAACACCACCACCACCACCTACTCAACACCACCACCTACTCACCACCACCACCACCTACTCACGACCATCACCACCTAGTCACCACCACCACCAACTCACTACCACCACCTACTCAACACCACCACCACCTACTCAACACCACCACCACCATCACCACCACCTACTCAACACCAACACCACCACCTACTCAACACCACCACCTACTCACCACCACCACCTACTCACCACCACCACCTAGTCACTACCACCACCACCTAGTCACCACCACCACCAACTAGTCACCACCACCACCTACTCACCACCACCACCTACTCACCACCACCACCACCACCTACTCACCACCACCACCTACTCACCACCACCACCTACTCACCACCACCTCCACCTTCTCACCAACAACAACCGCCATTCGCCACTAAGTGGCGGTGACGTCACCACGACCCTTGTGCCAGGCCATGTGCACCTTGAGGCCACGTGAAGTGTCGAACGCCCGCTGGCAGGAGGTCACGGGGCAGACCCAAGTGCCACGGGTCGACTGACTGAGATGACTGGCTGATGCACCACCTGTGCCCCCTACTGTGCCAACCTACTGTGCTTTAGCCACCCGGCGCTCCGCTCGTTGTTGTGAGCGTCGCTCCTCCGCCCTCCGTTGTTGTTGGAGGGCGACTGCCTCCAACTGCCCACTAGCGTCCTTCACGAGCCTCCTCCACACAGGCCGATCTTGACACCGCTGGTACCAGTCATCGGCAAGTCCACTCAGCTCCACGTCCTCCTGTACCACATCACTCCATCTCTTCTCTAGCCCGTGCCGCGCCCGTTTAGCCCCCTCGATCCAGCCGAACAAAAGCTGTTTTGGCATGCGGTAGCTGGGCATGCGGGCTACATGACCCAGCCAACGCAGCCTTGCCTGCCGGAGGAGCTTACCGATGGGACCTTGCCCAGATCTTTCAAGGATTTGTGAGCTCCTCACACAATCCAGCCTGGTTAAACCCAGGATGAATCGTAGGCTGGCCAGCCTAAATGTTTCTAACCGGCGAAGATGTTCCATTAGGGGGGTCCACGTTTCGCAAGCGTAGAGAAGGGAGGGAATGACCGTGGCCGAGAAGACCTGAAGCTTAGTGCGGAGCGACAGACCAGGTAGCTTCCACACAGCGTTACGCAACCGATGAAAAGATGTTGCCGCTCGACTGATTCGGAGTGAGACCTCTGCTGTTAAACTGGAGTCGGTCATAAGCACACTGCCCAGGTATGGGAAACTCTCCACTCTCTCCGCAACTGCCCCATCACCGATTGGGAGTTGGGGTGGAGTGTCCAATGGTACAAAATACCGAGGCAGGTGCTTAGTTTTGGTGGGGCTGATGGTAAGGCCCCACCTCTTAGTGACACAATCCAATTTCAGCAGCAGCGTCTCCAACTCCTCCTCTGAATGAGCAGCAATTACCAGATCATCGGCATACATAACGTGGTTGACCAATAGGGAGCCATCCCTTGACCGCACCCGGGCATCGATTAGCCTCCCATTATATCTGTACCATATGGAGATTCCCCCGGTACAGCTATTGAAGCCTTCACGAACTACGTGGTCAAAATAGATGTTAAATAATGTGGGAGCCAGAGGACATCCCTCTCGCAACCCAAGGTGTACAGGGAATGGCTCCGACTCCCGGCCACATAGTTTTACCCGGGCCCGCTCACCATCATGAAGGTCCTTCATGATCGTGAGCAGAGGGTCAGGGACTCCGAAAGCACGAAGAAACAACCCAGAGCCCAGGGCCTACTGATGGCATCATAGGCCTTGACCAGGTCAATAAAGCAGAGATGTAGGTCTTGCTGGAATTCCCTGCACCTCTGCTGTAGCAGACGGACAGAAAATATGGCATCTGTGCAGGACCGCCCTTTCCTGAAACCGCATTGGGGCTCCGCAAGCCTCTCCTCATTGTGCCTGGCAAAGGCGATATTGAATAATCCTTGCCAGGACCTTTCCTGGCACACCTACTCACCACCACCACCACCTCCTCCTACTCACCACCACCACCACCACCTCCTACTCACCACCACCACCACCTCCTACTCACCACCACCACCACCACCTCCTACTCACCACCAACACCACCTCCTCTCCACTGTATCTAACATTGCATCCCCTGCGTGTCTCCCCCGTGTCTCCCCCCGTGTCTCCCCCCGTGTCTCCCCCGTGTCCTCTCCCGTGTCTCCCCCCGTGTCTCCCCCGTGTCTCCCCTGCGTGTCTCCCCCCGTGTCTCCCCCCGTGTCTCCCCCCGTGTCTCCCCCGTGTCTCCCCCCGTGTCTCCCCCGTGTCTCCCCCCGTGTCTCCCCCGTGTCTCCCCCCGTGTCTCCCCCGTGTCTCTCCATGTCTCTCCGTGTCTCTCACAGAAACAAGGACCTTCCAACACTCTCTACCACGTGGTTCGAGATGTAAAGAAGGTAAAACATGGTGAACCCCACCCACCCACCCACCCACACGGTCATCGTGAACCCCACCCACCCTGAACCCCACCCACCCACCCACACGGTCACCGTGAACCCCACCCACCCACACGGTCATCGTGAACCCCACCCACCCACACGGACACCGTGAACCCCCACCCACCCACACGGTCACCGTGAACCCCACCCACCCACACGGTCATCGTGAACCCCACCCACCCACACGGACACCGTGAACCCCACCCACCCACACGGACACCGTGAACCCCACCCACCCACACAGACACCGTGAACCCCACCCACCCACACGGACACCGTGAACCCCACCCACCCACACGGACACCGTGAACCCCACCCACCCACACGGACATCGTGAACCCCACCCACCCACACGGTCATCGTGAACCCCACCCACCCACCCGGACACCGTGAACCCCACCCACCCACACGGTCACCGTGAACCCCACCCACCCACACGGACACCGTGAACCCCACCCACCCACACGGTCATCGTGAACCCCACCCACCCACACGGACACCGTGAACCCCACCCACCCACACGGTCATCGTGAACCCCACCCACCCACACGGACACCGTGAACCCCACCCACCCACACGGCCATCGTGAACCCCACCCACCCACACGGCCACCGTGAACCCCACCCACCCACACGGTCACCGTGAACCCCACCCACCCACACGGTCATCGTGAACCCCACCCACCCACACAAACACCGTGAACCCCACCCACCCACACGGTCACCGTGAACCCCACCCACCCACACGGACATCGTGAACCCCACCCACCCACACGGTCACCGTGAACCCCACCCACCCACACGGACACCGTGAACCCCACCCACCCACACGGCCATCGTGAACCCCACCCACCCACACGGTCACCGTGAACCCCACCCACCCACCCACACGGCCATCGTGAACCCCACCCACCCACACGGCCACCGTGAACCCCACCCACCCACACACACACCCACCCACCCACCCACTACCTCCGTTGCCAGGGTAACCTCCCCCCAGACTACCGCATCAGCCTCATCGACATCGGCCTCGTGATGGAATACCTCATGGGTGGAGCCTACCGCTGCCACTACACCCGCAAGCGCTTCAGAGCCCTCTACAACAACCTGTTTGGACCCAAGCGGGTGAGTGGGTGGGTGGGTGGGTGAGTGGGTGAGTGGGTGGGTGTGTGGGTGGGTGGGTGAGTGGGTGGGTGGGTGGGTGAGTGGGTGGGTGAGTGATTGAGTGAGTGGGTGGGTGAGTGGGTGAGTGGGTGGGTGAGTGGGTGGGTGAGTGTGTGGGTGGGGAGATGATGGACCCTCGCATGGAGGCACTGCTCAGCTGGGTGAGTGGGTGAGTGAGTGGGTGAGTGGGTGGGTGGGTGGGTGAGTGGGTGGGTGGGTGAGTGGGTGAGTGAGTGGGTGGGTGGGTGGGTGAGTGGGTGAGTGGGTGGGTGAGTGGGTGGGTGGGTGAGTGGGTGGGTGAGTGAGTGAGTGGGTGAGTGGGTGTGTGAGTGAGTGGGTGAGTGGGTGAGTGAGTGAGTGAGTGGGTGGGTGGGTGGGTGAGTGGGTGAGTGGGTGGGTGAGTGGGTGGGTGGGTGAGTGGGTGGGTGGGTGGGTGAGTGAGTGGGTGAGTGAGTGGGTGGGTGGGTGGGTGAGTGGGTGAGTGGGTGAGTGAGTGGGTGGGTGGGTGAGTGGGTGAGTGGGTGGGTGAGTGGGTGAGTGAGTGGGTGGATGGGTGAGTGGGTGAGTGAGTGGGTTAATGAGTGAGTGTGTGGGTGAGTGGGTGGGTGAGTGGGTGAGTGGGTCGGTGGGTGAGTGAGTGGGTGAGTGGGTGAGTGGGTGGGTGGGTGGGGAGATGATGGACCCTCGCATGGAGGCACTGCTCAGCTGGGTGAGTGGGTGAGTAAGTGGGTGAGTGGGTGGGTGGGTGAGTGGGTGAGTGGGTGAGTGGGTGGGTGAGTGGGTGGGTGAGTGATTGAGTGAGTGGGTGGGTGAGTGGGTGAGTGGGTGGGTGGGTGGGTGAGTGGGTGGGTGAGTGGGTGAGGGAGTGGGTGGGTGGGTGAGTGGGTGAGTGGGTGGGTGAGTGGGTGAGTGGGTGGGTGGGTGAGTGGGTGGGTGGGTGGGTGAGTGGGTGGGTGAGTGATTGAGTGAGTGGGTGGGTGAGTGGGTGAGTGGGTGGGTGAGTGGGTGGGTGAGTGTGTGGGTGGGGAGATGATGGACCCTCGCATGGAGGCACTGCTCAGCTGGGTGAGTGGGTGAGTGAGTGGGTGAGTGGGTGGGTGGGTGGGTGAGTGGGTGGGTGGGTGAGTGGGTGAGTGAGTGGGTGGGTGGGTGGGTGGGTGAGTGGGTGAGTGGGTGGGTGAGTGGGTGGGTGGGTGAGTGGGTGAGTGAGTGGGTGGGTGGGTGGGTGAGTGGGTGAGTGAGTGGGTGGGTGGGTGGGTGAGTGAGTGAGTGAGTGGGTGGGTGGGTGGGTGAGTGGGTGAGTGAGTGGGTGGGTCGGTGAGTGGGTGGGTGAGTGGGTGAGTGGGTGGGTGAGTGGGTGAGTGGGTGGGTGGGTGGGTGAGTGGGTGGGTGGGTGGGTGGGTGGGTGAGTGAGTGGGTGAGTGAGTGGGTGGGTGGGTGGGTGAGTGGGTGGGTGGGTGGGTGAGTGGGTGGGTGAGTGGGTGAGTGGGTGGGTGAGTGAGTGGGTGAGTGGGTGTGTGAGTGAGTGGGTGGGTGAGTAAGTGGGTGAGTGAGTGAGTGGGTGGGTGGGTGGGTGGTTGAGTGAGTGTGTGGGTGGGTGGGTGGGTGAGTGAGTAAGTGGGTGAGTGAGTGGGTGAGTGAGTGGGTGTGTGAGTGAGTGAGTGTGTGGGTGGGTGAGTGAGTGGGTGAGTGTGTGGGTGGGTGAGTGGGTGAGTGGGTCGGTGGGTGTGTGAGTGAGTGAGTGTGTGAGTGAGTAAGTGGGTGAGTGAGTGGGTGGATGACTGAGTGGGTGAGTGAGTGGGTGGATGAGTGAGTTGGTGAGTGAGTGGGTGGATGAGTGAGTGTGTGAGTGAGTGGGTGGATGAGTGAGTGGGTGAGTGGGTGGGTGGGTGGATGGGTGAGTGTGTGAGTGAGTGAGTCAGTGGGTGGATAGGTGGATAGGTGGATGGGTTAGTGGGTGAGTGAGTGAGTGGGTGGATGGGTGGATGGGTGAGTGGGTGAGTGAGTGGGTGGATGAGTAAGTGGGTGAGTGAGTGGGTGGATGAGTGAGTGGGTGGATGAGTGAATGGTTGAGTGAGTGAGTGGGTGAGTGAGTGGGTGGATGAGTGAGTGGGTGAGTGAGTGAGTGGGTCAGTGAGTGAGTGGGTGGATGAGTGAGTGGGTGGATGAGTGAGTGAGTGGGTGAGTGAGTGGGTGGATGAGTAAGTGGGTGAGTGAGTGAGTGGGTGGATGGGTGAGTGGGTGAGTGAGTGGAGAGATGGTCACCTGAAGGGTTTTCCTTGTCTGCCATGTCTGTGATGTTAATAAAATGGTTGTGTGTGTCTCTCTGCCTGTCCACCTATGTTTCTGTCTCTCTGTCTCTCTGTCTCTACGCATGTCTCCGCCTCTCTGTCCACCTCTGCGTCTTTGTCTCTCTGTGTCTCTCTGTCTCTCTCTGTCTCTGTCTGTGTCTCTCTGCGTCTCTGTCTCTCTCTGTCTCTCGCTGTGTCTCTCTATGTCTCTCTCTGTGTCTCTCTGTCTCTCTCTGTGTCTCTCTCTGTGTCTCTCTGTGTCTCTCTGTGTCTCTCTCTGTGTCTCTCTGTCTCTCTCTGTGTCTCTCTCTGTGTCTCTCTGTGTCTCTCTGTGTCTCTCTCTGTGTCTCTCTGTCTCTCTCTGTGTCTCTCTGTCTCTCTCTGTCTCTCTCTGT